TTGGTTTCATCTAAATATCTACATGACAAAAAGAGAGATTTATGGTGTTGAAATTGAAATGTTGTTTCAGACCTGATATCATGAGGAGTAATGAACATCCACTGTGATCCTTGTGCAATTGCAAAATCCACAAGTGCGTCCAAGCTGATTTTCCGGCTGACTGCATCCTGGATTTTCCAGAATTGAGAAGTTCAAAAATGTTTGTTTCAGTAGCTCAACCCATTGAAATGTTTGTAAAGACAGGATTCTCAGAAGGACATAATACCATAAAGACATCAAACTCATCCATCGCTCGAAAGGGGGCTTCCGTCATCTCGTGAAGAGCCAACGCAAAGCATAAAGTCGAGAAGGAACGTTCTCCGCCTAAATTTATGACAAAATGGGAGCTGGCTTACACTTTACCAATGGCTGACATAGCAGATGTCTTTACACAGCAATGAGTTACATATGTTGGATATTTTAGAGTGGAGACAGAAGCAGCACCTGAAAGACCTTTGGTGTCTCGAACGGCATTGCTTGTTGCATCTTGAGGCATCTTAACCTGTCAAAAAAGAAAGCCATCAATAAATTGACATTGAAATGCAAAATGACATTGAAATGCAAATATTGTAGCATAACACTGTCAATTACCTCTATGGACAAAGTTTTTTCTTCATAACTGACTTTGATGTGTCCGCTGATACCTTTCTTTCCCAAGTGAGTGTTGAATCTATTATGTAAAAGAAAGTTCCATAAGGAAAAAACCATATAAATCTCAAACGACAACTAAACTACAGATTTCTCTACGTATTTGGTGATGGGGGAAGCAACTCTTACTGCCACGTTAACTGGCGCCGAAGAAGCGATGCATTTCTTTGAAACTTGGCCCATCGCGAATCTAAAGCCTTTTTACAGGCCTGATCAAACAGTAATGAATACATTAAATGATGCAGGAAAAACAACAGACACAGCTTTAACATAAACACATCTGCAAGGCACAACCATGAGTTTTTCTCTCGAGTCTTGATTCGTTTTGCGTTTCTTTGCAATCTTTCGTTCTAGTTTTTCATACATCATCCTAAGGTCATCGATTGATTCTGAAAACCTACATAAAAAAAATTGAAGCATGTGTTTACTGTCACAGGTGTTTCTGTGTTAAGGAAGAGCTTAAGGCATTACTGTAATACGCACTGTTGATTTTCTCGATGAAGTCTCTGATTCATTCTGTTAATCTGAGCACTGAGTTGCTCAGGAGTACTCCCATCCCAGGGACCCAAAGATTCTATCTCACTCTCAGGACAAATTTCAGAGGCCTTCTGGTCGCTTTCCTAAAATTTCAGCACATAATTCATTACCACATGAAAAATGAAAACAAAAACGGGCCTTGACCAATAACCCTACAAGAAGATGCAACAGTATCTATCATCACGACACATTAGTCTAGTAGATAAGTTCCACAGACTAGACAACATGGCAACCCAGGAACCTGGCCATTCCCTCCTTGGACAGAGTTTTTTTTTGGTCGGACCCTTAGACAGGTTTAAACGAGACAAATAGAAGTAGATGAATGTACATAGCTCTGTGTGTGTGTCAATAGAAAAGAATGAAGTTGCATTTGCCATTTTGAAAAAACAAATCCCCTTTAATTGCGATAGTAACACAACGTCATAATTGCTTATCTGTGTACCTTCCGCTTTTTTTGAAGCTCCTCATATTTAGCCTCAGCATCCTTAATATCAGGTAGGACCTTGTTTTTCATTATGTTCTCGTAATGGATTTTCTCCTGAAACAGAATCACGCTTACGTTCTGCATACAAAACAAGTGAACAATCAGAAATTATACGTAGAGGCAAGAAGGGGTACCGCTTCGGCCAACTGAAGGTCTTTCTCTATCTTCTTTAGCTCATTCTCTGCTTCCTCAAATGCATCAATTTCACCCTTGGCTGACTCTACATGCACGTTTTGGATAAAATGTAAGGATAAAGAATCACTCAATCAAGATGATCTATTCATGTTCGATCACAAACCATGAAAAAGATACACGTGTTTCAGAAACAGTGATCTATCACAGACATACCACATAAGTTCTCAAATGAAGCTTTAAGTTTATCAGCCTTTAGTTCAGCATCTTTCAAGCAGTTTTGGAGCTTCTCAAGAAAAGCTTCTTTCTCCTCTATCTCTTCTCGGTCTTTCTGATAAAGTAATTAGAAATTAAAAAAAAAAAAAGTAATGATATGAAGGCGAAAACAATGAGTTTCACCAACAAACTAACCATGATTTCAAGTTGAAGTTCATTAACACTTGAAGAAGATGATGCTTCGGTCTCAACAGCGACTGTATTCTTCAAATCTTGCATCTCGATTTCCTTTGTTGTCAAACCTCTCTCTGCTTGGCTGCGGTGCTTCTGTACAAACCGAACAAAATACATATACAAAACGGTTCTGAATTCAGTTTTGTGAAAATAAGCTACTCATTTTAGTTTAGAGACTGGGAACTCTAGTTTCAACATGTCTACTGGATTAATCAATGAGTTAACATTACCTTCAGTGTGCGCATTTTCAACTCAAGTTGCTCGAGATTCTCCTCTGCCTCCCTCTTATGTCTCATGCATTGATTTATCTCGCTTTGTTCTTTTAAGGCCTCTATTTCAAGATCCTTGATCTGATCATCAAAAGAAGCACACAGTCGCGAAGGTCCACGAGAACGAGAGGGAAGGGTTGTCTGAACTGACCCACGAAAAAACCTGAGGTAAGAGAGTAGATACATTAGAGTAATGATTGAGGAGCCCCTACATGGTCTCAAGTTACTCCCTTTTGGTATTTTACACGACTGAGAAATGGTAGATGCAATACTGTTGGATATCTCATTTTCAGTCCCTTCATGTGATCATTTTCAAACCAAACAAAAGGCTTCTATTGGATCACTTTTCATGTTTGTCTTTTGGTGGAAAAAACTGATGTTGGAGAAATCCAGAGCAAGAACACAGGAAGAGAGGAGCTATGTCATAGTTCAAATTTGTATTTTTGAAAGAAAAAAATGATATCTGGCTCTGCAAAAGGTTTGTTCTAATTTGCAAGTGAAGATATAGTCGGACTGGACTGCCCCATGCCAAATCTAACAAGTTACTTACATTCGGAATCCATCTAAAGTGTAAACATCCTTCAGATTTGAGAGCCTTTTTCCAAACGCAACTGCCTTTCCCACATCATAGTTCTCAGCAAGCACTTGCCTCTCAACACTACTCTGAAAAATCCAAAATACATGACCAAAATATGAATACCACATTCTTAATTTCTTACATGACACCACCAAATTAAGAATGAACAAAATTAGTTAGTGGCGGGAAAAGTTGAACGTAAGATTACCACATCCACCAAGACGTTAAGAACGGTTTGATTATCAGAATGCAAGACAGATAGAATAGTTGGGTGTTCTGTCTGAGGAATCATGTGCCTTGGTATATGTAACCTGCATAAAAGAAGAGAAAGCATATGTTTGCGTTATAAAGCTACCCATTCATCAGTACAGAAGGTTAAAAAGAAATATTAAAATGCTTATTTAGACTTTGAACCTTGGTCTCGAAAAGTCATAGATAATGATCTTAAGGTTTTTATAATTGGCTTCATTCGCACAGCGTCTTAGAGTGAGAGAATCTTCATGATCAGTCACAATGAAGGCATTTAATAGGTTTCCAAGAGCTTGTTCAACTGTAGAAGCCCATTTATTGCCATTGACCAACGTCTGTAGAACATCACATCATTAGAAGATATTTTATATCCCACAAAATATTCACTTTTGATATTGTTGCCAGTTTTTTCATGAGCCATGCAGGGGTCAATACAAGATAACATGTGAACTAAATTTGTTTGGTGCACAGATTTGCAAAATAAACAAATAGTCACTCACCACATGGGAGCCAATAGGACCAATCGGTGGCTTTTTGAATTTACAATGATGTCTCTCAATAGCCTTCAGAAGATAAATGACTTTGTCCCCTCCAAATGCAGTGACCTAATTGTATGCCTCTTAGATTTCACCGAAAGAGATTTTACAATATCCAGTTGAAACACCAAATATTGTGATTGAAGCATGTAAGACGCACCTTGTTTGTTTTATGTTTCTTCAAATCATTAATGTTAGAGTTTCTGGCTCTTTGCCTCTTTTGATGCTCTCTAATCTAGAAGCCAGAAAGGCCAAAGAAAAGAATAAGGAGTTATGGTTACCCAAAAAAAAAAATGGAGTTAATTACTATATCTAAAATCTGCATATAAAACTGGTTAAATTCTAAGACTTAATTAATATTCATGTGGAATGTAAGTAACATATATAAGCATGGTTGTACCGTATATTCGATGTGTTCCATCTCTTTGCTTCCAGCTGACACTTTTTCCAATAAGGAATTCTCTTCCTCTTTCAATCTAAAATGTCAAATATTCAGTAACTGTCTGAAGACGAAAGAGAAGACTACAGAATACGGAATAGGAACACGAAAAGGAAATGGAAAACTTAGTATCATAACCTGGAAAGCAATGTTTCAACTCTCTCAACCTCCTGCTCCAAATATTGTAGTCTCTCCTCGATTTCAGATTGTTCAGCCTGCATCACTATCAACCTAATAAGAAATATACACAGATAAATCTGTACATAAATATATGCCTTCACAATATCTTGATTGTTATGCCAAGACACTGAGCACAAAACAAATACGACAAAGTGTTTCATTTTCTAAAGATAATGCCAGTGACCAATAAAGAGGACCTGCGTGTTTCTCATTGTCTGCTCATTGATATCTCCAACCTGCCTTTTAAGCCTTCTAACACGATCCTTGATCTTTTGAACGTGATTGCACTTATGATTGAATTCTTCTTGTAGAGTAAACTTGTCTCGTGCAGCCTACAATAAGAATTTACATCAAGAACACACATGATATGTCAAAAACCACGCATACAAGACATGGCAAATAGCTATAGCGAAAGCAATTTTTCCAGACTATTCACATTGACTTATTATTTTGAGACTATCGACTTTGAGAATCATGATGCATATTAGAGCCATGCAAGCATTTGATAAATCCAGTACTTTCATTTGCTTCCTCTCTTTTACAAACACTGAACAAGGAAATAAATATTTATAATATCATCAACTAGGTCCCTCTTAAAACCAAGTTTACATACCGTCTTGGCTGATTGGCGAAAACTCTCTATCTCTCTTTTCATTGCAGATGATTCATCCATCAGACATGCAACTTGAGCTTTCTTCTTGGTCAAGCGGTCGCTTAACGCTTCCACTTTACCCTACAGAAATGGTCAGGTATAATCAAACAGTCTGAGTTCGAAATCATGAATAAAATCACCCGTGTGTATCAAATTGAAAATTTAAGAGGCAAAACCTCACATTAACTTATGGAACTAAGATAGTACGTGTTATTTATGCCCCTATGAGAAAACATTAGGGTGGAAATACCTCAAGACATAATCAAACTAGCTCTTTTTTATATAGCTAATAAACTTCATTGTTATCTTATGATGTCCAGGTAGGATATCAGAGAAAAGTTAAAACTTGTAATGCACTCCATCATCTGTCACTTTCAATCTTTTTGTAGCCATCCAAATTTCAGATAATTGAAAGTATGTATTACTTACCAGTTCCCAATCTATTTTAGCTTGGCAGGTAGGTATACGTTCTTTAAGCTTCACAAGCTTCTCAGTCTGTTCCTGAAGCTGCCTATCCACATCATATACCCACGACCAAGCCAATTTCTTTTTTACCTGCTGCAACTTTTGAGCTATTTCTTCAACTTGTTCCATACTCTTTATCTTTCTACTCAACTCGCTGATCTCCTTTTCGATTGGTTTAATTCGGTCCTCCATTTCATCAACTATCGCTGTTGCAGCTTTCAAGTGTTCGTAGATACTTTGAAGAAGATCATTGACTTGCTGAAGGAGGGTTGCTTTAAAAAAGAACTAAAGAACAGAAGCTTTCAGCCAAAATATCAGCATGGATAACTTCGATATACACCAATTCACAAAAGATACCTTGAATTTATCTTTGTCATTTCCAGAATGTAAGAACTCCCTGCTCTTGTCTTGACTCATTACCACGCACGGATTTTCAACATCAATCTACCCATGTAAAACATGATACCGTTTCAGCAGTGAATATGCCAGCCAATATAGCTAATATAACTGAAACTTTAACCAATATAGCTAATAGAATTGAAACTTACACGGGATACAAGACCAGAAATAACATGTATGTCTGATATTTATCACCACTTTTAAATTTGGATGAAAGACAAAAACTCACATTGAAATGTTCAACAAGTTCCCGTAAGTCCTCCCTTCGGCTACTCACTTTTTTTCCTGCAGAAAATCGGTTGAGGTAAATTAGTAAACAGAAAACCCTTTTAAATCAACAATTTCATATGCACATAACACATAGAAAGAAGTGGTGGAGAAGAGAATAAGAAATGAAAGACTCTTCACAACAAGTAACACACCGGCAATGAAACAGATACAAGTCAAACCAGAGAGATGGAGAGAGAGTATGGCTACAGAGAACTAACCTAGACGATCCTTGAGAACTGTGGAACTAGTAGACTCAGTTATCCTGCGTTCGATAAGTATGACGTCACCATAAATTTCAGGCTTAAACGCATCATCTCCTTGGTTTTTCATCTCTACATGGACAACAGCATAGCTGCAAAGAAATCCCGACGAGATTGGAAAGTTTCAGTCACTTTTAACATGAAGCTCAACGAGAAGCAAAGACAGTCGTTTCCTAAATCATGACAACAGACGATAGGTGGAATAAGTGTACAAACCTGCATCCAGTTTTTATGAAATCCTTGAGAGTTGAAGCGCGCTGAGTCCCTTTCGCTCGACATCCGAATGCAACACACAGAGCAGTCAATATCGCACTCTTACCACCTGAATTTTGTTTTGCCAACACAAGAAATTAGCTTTCAGCGAGAAAAATCTGATTGTCGTTTCACATTCCATGAATCGACATCTTTCTAAAATTGTCAATCCAAAGTCGAGATTAAATTATTCAGCATGGCTCTGCGACCCTCCTGGAAAAATTCAATTCTAAATCAAAGCTCCCAACGAAAACCAAAAGCTTAAACCTGAATTCTTAACGCGATGAACAATTTCAAAATTACGCGAAACCCAGATTCAAATAAGGTATGCGTATCTAAACCCAGTCGATTAGATCGGTAAAGATCAAATTTTTTTGCAACGAAAACGAAAAAAGCACTTACTTCCGTTTTGGCCGGTGATGAAATTGACCCACTCGCCAAACTCAATCTGGAGATTACTATGGCACATGAAATTCTCGAGCTTAATCCTAAGGATCGTACCGGAACCAGAACGCTGTTTGATGAAGGAATCGCCGAGTCGAGCCCCAGATTTTGCCATGACTGTCGGGTTCTAGGGTTTCTCACTCGCCTGAGAAAGAGAATGTCCACTCCGATTCATGTGGGGGTGCTTAGTGGCGGGAAAGGGAGAAGGCTATTGTACGCCGCGTGTATGCTAACTATGTCCATATCAACCGTCCGATCTTCTGGAGATCTTACAAAGAACAAAAACGGGCCTTAAAATTACCTTCACATGGGCCCATTAATCACACTATTTGCTAGCCCAATAAACCCGTTTCCAATTGGGATTTTTTTGAAAAATGAGAATTTGAAAAGAGAAATTGGCAATAGCCAAGAAAAAAAACATATCCTAATATCTAACCAAAACACCCTTATATGGCAAAACTATAGCCATTAGATTTAGATATTTTGGT